GAAGTACAGAGATTGGACCCAGGAGCAAGAGGGAGTCATTTTTATGTAAAAAAAAAAAGAGACTACAAAGGAGATAAGAGCCAGGCTAGGGGGAGGGGAGGGAATCAGCGAAGGACGGATTTAACTGCCCACAAATACTACACACATACATACATACTCAAAGTGCCTTTCCTTTTTGAATGTCATTTCATCTAGTTCACTCTCACCATCAATGAGTGTCCATTCTGGATGTTAGGTCAAATTTTGTCCTTTTGTTAATTTTCAAGAAAACATACCGTTTTTTCCCCTATAGGAATGGGAAATGGCTCTCCCATAGTATTTCTTGAATTAATTCACTGTAAATATATTGTGTTTGTGACACCTTCACCAAGAAGCCCTGCACTTTCCGATTCACTAGCAACTTCACGTCTCCCCCTTACACACATTATCCCCCACCCCTACCTCCACTCACAAAATGACTGACGTTGGTATCAGGTTTAAGTGTGATTTGGAAAGGAGTTGCTGAGTTAAAAATGTTAGTTAACAGACTGCCTTTGTTAAATAGCCCCCGGGTGGAGAAGACCCAACAAAAAGAGGGAAGGAGGAGGGGGGCCGAGGATCTGAAAGTGTCTGTGGTGATATAAAGGGTTCCTAACGCTGAAATCACTTGTAATACCTCGTTTCAAACTGAGCTCATCTATAGACCCCGGAAGCGCGGTCAAAAGACTGGGAACCTCTTTCCCCCTTGGGCTGGGGCTGGTCTCGAGCTGGAAGGACGCGGGGGAGAGGGAGGTGGGGTACTTATTAAGGAACAGGCGAGGGCAGGGCGGGGGAAGGGAGGAACAGACAGCTCAAGACTCATTAAACCGATTGTAAAGCCCGGAGTGTCCGCGGCGTAGATTTGGGAAATAAAATGCGCCGAGTAAAAGTCTCAGAGTGGAAATTACCTTTTGTCTCATTGTTAATTACTCCTTGCTTCCAACACTCAACACCTGACCACCTGGCAGCCCTCTTTGGTCCTTCCCCAGCTCGGCACACAGTGTCAGGGTCCGAGGGCTCTGCAGTGGGCTTGGCTTGGCGGGGGCAGCCC